AGCTTCCAATGGGCTATCCCTAATCCTGGAATTGAAAAGAGATGTGCAGCATTATATCATTAGGTTGGATTTCTACCACAGTGATACAAAGATGGAAGGAACAATGCAGGACCATAAAAGAGCAATATTAATAAAATAATTAGGAAATGGTGAGTTTTGAGTATGTATTGTCTTTGTTTTTAATACAATGTATTTGACTGTAAGTTTATAAGATTTAAATTTTAATATTGGCTATATTTAACAACCATAAAAATTCCTAACAATTTCAAGAATCAGCTCTTAGGAGTCAGTACCAGCCTACTACAGCCCATCACTGTATATATTACTCTTTTCCAAAGAATTGAAATGATAGTTATTAATCCAGTTTTCACCATTTCATTCTGGTACATAAAGTATGAAAATCTGTAAATAAAGCGCATAAGACAAAGCAGTACCTCCTGAAGAATTGTATGATATGTAAGAAATAGTAAGCTATTTAGGAATTTTTAAATCGACTTTACATAACTATCATCATATGGCTATACTGAAATAACATAAATGGTAATCAGTTTCTTTTTTAATATTGATCAAAACTATAAAATGGATTTTCATTAATGTGGCTAGCACATAAATAATAAGTTGTCTAAGCAAAAGTGAAATTATTTAAGGGCTATATAAAATATGAATTAGGGAGAAATATTGTCTGTCAAATGTACTTCTGAAAGAAAAAGAGAAAAGCATTTTGCAAACTTCATCTCATAAGGGTGAGATATATCCAAAATACATTAGGAACTTTAAAATTCAATAACACTACATATATGTAATATGAATTGAAATGCATTCTGCTGTCATATATAACAAATTAGAATAAATTTTAAAAATAAAATAAAATTGAAAAAAAATAATACCAGCCATGTGTGATGATGCATGCCAGTAATCCCAGCTACTCAGGAGGCTGAGGCAGAAGGATTGCAAGTTCAAAGCCAGCCTGGGACTGACAAGACCCTATCACAAAATAAAATTTAAAAAGAGCTGGGGAGGTAGCTCAGTAGTAGAGCATTCCTGAATTTAATCCCCAGTATTGAAAAAATAAATAAATAAGACTCAATAACAAAAATCAAATCATCCAATTTAAAAATATAAGTAGACAGTTCTCAAAAATTAAACTCAAATAGTTAACAAATTTATGTAAAAATGCTCAACTTCATTAGCCTTCAGGGAGATGCAAGTCTAAAACCACAATGAGCCAGGTACAGTGGCCCACGCCTGTAATCCCAGTGGTTCAAGAAGCTTAGACAGGAGGATTGTAAGTTCAAAGCCAGCCTCAGCAATGGTGAGGCACCAAGCAACTCAGTGAAATCCTGTCTAAATAAAATACAAAATAGGGCTGCGGATGTGCTGTTCAATCCTTGTACCAACCAAAACTAAACAAAAAAAAACACAGGGAGATATCATCTCCCTCCAGTTAGAAAGGCCATTATCAAAAAGTCAAAAAATAATAAATGCTGGTAAGGATGTGAAGAAAAGGAAACTCTCATATTCTCATATAAGGTTGATGGGAATGTAAATTAGTACAGCTGCTAAGGAGAACCATTCCTCAAGAAACTAAAAATAGATCTACTATATGATACAGCTGTCCCATTTCTAGGTACATACATTCAAAGGAAATTATATCAGCATAGCAAAGAGACCTGAGCCACCATGTTTGTTGCTATACTATTTGCAATAGTTAAGATACAGAATCAACCCAGATGCTCATTAATGGATGAATGGATAATGAAAATGTGACACATATACACAATGGAATAGTATCCAACCATAAAAAGGAATGATATCTCATCATTTGCAGCAAAATGAACGGAACTGGAGGACATTATGCTAAGTAAAATAAGTTAGACACAGAAAGACAGATACCACACATTCTCCCTCACATGTGAATGTTTTTTTCTTAAGTCAATTAGAATGTATAACAGTGACTACTGGAGGCTGGGAAGGGTGGGGAGGAGTACATATATGCAAGTTGGCTAACAGATACCCAAACACAAGTAGATAGAAGTAAAGTGTCTACAGAACAGTGGGGTGATAAGTTTACAATGACCTATTACATGTTTTATAAAGAATAAGAAGAGAGGATCTAAAAGGCTCCAATCACAAAGCAATGATGAAAAAATAGAAATATGAATCTCCATGATTCGTTCAGTACATATACTGAAATATCACAAGGCACACCACAAATATGTTCAGTAATTACATGTTAATCAAAAATATCTTCAAATGTTTAAGGAGACAGAAATATTAACTATCCTGACTTGACCATTACATACTGTATGCATGTATAAAATTATCACATTGTACACCATCAGTTCGTATAATTAAAATAATAATTTTTAATATCATGCTAAGTGAAATAAGCTAAACTCAGAAACCCAAAGGTCAAATGTTTTCTCTCACATGTGGAAGCTAGAGTAAAGGAAAGGAAAGGGGAAGGGAAATATAGGATAATATAAAGAATCAATCAAACAAATTAATAGATGAACAAAAGGAAGTCAAGTAGAAGAAAGAGAATGGGAGAGGGGAGGGAAGATAGGAGGGATGGAGTGGGGGATCATGAAGTAAAATCAATCTCCATGCATGTTTGAGTTTGTCAGGATGAACCTAACTACTATGTATAAATATAAGCTCTAATAAAATAATAACAACAATAATGTTAATTAAAAAAAAGAGAAAAGCAACATGCAACTTTGAAATGCATTGTCATACAGAACTCATACAACACCTGACCAAGAAATAAGTGTGAGCCTCTTTAGGGGGAAAAAGGTAATTCAGTTTGGAAGAGTGGGGGTTCACTCTTGCCACTGGACAGACATGCCACCATTGCCTGAGCTACAGTCAGTGGAAACATGCTGACTTGTGCTGAAACTTGTCCCTTCACTGACACAGAGGGAAAGAAGGAACTGCTGAAGGTCCCAGGCCACCCTCTTACTTCTCCGGAGTTGATGCCATGGGAAACCAGGTCATGTGGGTACGAGAACCAGACGGGTGTGAGGCGGATCCTGGCTTTACATCATGCTGGTTGCAAAGGGGCAAGTCACTTAAATTCTTTGAATCTCAGTTTCCTGAAATATAGAAGATAAAAAAGAATATCTTATCAAGTACAGCTGAAGATAAAACACGCAATACACTTTACTTGGCAGAGGGTTCCACTGTTCTAACTAAAACCATAAAACCACCTAGAGATGTATGAAGACGAATTTCTTTCCTGCTCACCCAGGGACAAATAGCCACTTTGAAAATAGCAAAGAAGGATTCTGGACTGTTCAATTATATCTTCTCCCAGTTTTATTGGTAACATGATCCAGAATAGAGGATGTTTTCTGTATTGGTTCCCGTCCTTCCTCCTACTACGTCAAGAACTACACTAAACTCCAAACACACAACGTTGAAGAATAGCAGTGGTAACAGCTGCAATAGGAGTAGTGATAGTTTAAAAAAAAAAAAAACTAACTTATTATGCACTGACTGTTGGATAAAAGATAGGCTTCTGCCTATACTAATTGACACTTTGGTGTAGGGGAACATATTTACATAGTAATTGCTTGGGTAGAATTTTCACAGGTTTTTGCCAACCCCAGAAACTGTGTCCCAATGGAACCTAAATGCTGGCAAACAAATTCATAAGCAAATCTACATATCAAAAAGTTAAATTAAAACAGATTTCTTTTACTTTCTCTGAATAATTCTGTCTAACCGTTTTTGGGGTGTGTGGGGACGGGGAGAGCTTATCCTGAATAAAGTAGACATTGGTGAAGAAAATGTGGTCAAGAGAGGGAGTAAGAATATTACAGATAAGTGATTTGACAATAGTTGGGATATAATTAATTTGAAGTTAACAATACAAGGTAGGGTTGCTCTTTAACTTATAAATCAATTTAGATTAGTTGAAATAAGCTGTCACTTAGGATTGGTAATGGATATTTTCTTTTTAAACTCTAATCTTCCTCATCTTTCCACTTTTCACCAAGGAACAATAAATATTAGCCTGGTAGCCATGAATTTGATAATAGAAGTGTATGAGTCTTTAAATAGTTGAACAACACCAATAGGTATATATAACATTTTCCTACAACAAGACTGCATAGGCTAACTTAAGTTGACAATGCTTCTTTGCTTTCATCATGAATTTTATGAAGTTATTGCAGTAACTGGTTATCTTAAGTGGATTAGCTATCATTAGCACCATGGAGGTTACTGATGAAATATTGTTTCAAAACCAGGGGCTCCTGTTAAGGGGAGGGAGGCATTGTAATACAAGACCTCTGGGGCTGGGGTTGTGTCTCAGTGCTACGTAGAGAGCTTGCCTAGCATGTGAAAGGCACTGGGTTCCATTCTCAGCACCGTATATACATAAATTTTTTTAAAAAAAGATCCATTGACAACTAAAAAATATTTTTTTAAAAAAAGGCCTCTGCTTCTTAAAAGCTTAGATACCAAGCTTAGTTGCTAAGTGTGTTGTGTTTGACATAAAATAACTTAGCTAATCCAGCAATATAATGCAGAAATAATTTATGAAAAAAAATTCACAAATTTCCATGCATTAGTGTACATTGCTTCAGGAGAATAAAAGAGTTTTCAAAACACATTTGTGTTCCAAAAATGCATGTAGTTACATAAAAGTCCATTTGAACAGCCTAGGTGTTACATCTTGGACTTGTGAGATCTCAGGGAAAGAATACATTTGCATTTCAACTACAGTTTTAATCTGAGGTTTCAATGAACAATATTTAATGCTTAGTCTTTTTTTTTTAAGTGTATTGTTTCTACTCTTAAGGTGTGTCTGACAAGAATGTTCTTAGATTGTCCTCTGTAATTTCGGTCTTATATATGACATTTCTGTAGGAGCTTAAAATAATTTGATGCATGACTTTTTCCCTCCAGTGTTTCTTATATTTCTCAGTAAACTATTTTGGTCCCTTCTTTTAGCAAAGTCATGAAAATTAATACATAATATGTTGTTCATACAGAATTATGAAATTTCATGTGGCCAAACGGAAATTTAAGGAAACATTACGCCCATATGATGTAAAAGATGTCATTGAACAATATTCTGCTGGTCACCTGGACATGCTATGTAGAATTAAAAGCCTTCAAACACGGTAAGCAACAAAAACGTTATCCATTGTAAAGGAACAAGCATGAAAACCATCTGGGAGCAACTTCTCTTTAGCAGACAAAACCTCTGGGTTCCATATTCCTAATTTATTTTTGGTGGGCAATTGAACTTTTGTTTTAATGTAGATTTTACTTTGCTTTTAACATAGATGTAAATCAGCCACTAAAAGCCTCCCGCCATCTCAGTCTCCTCATCTGTAAAAATGGAGAAAATGATAGTGCTTACCTCCTGGGGTTATTCTTAGTATTGAACAATTTAATACATGTAACACATATATGTAATAGCCCTGGCACTGGGTGTTCAATAAAAGTCAATGACTGTTGCTGATGTATGAATTATTGCCGATGTTGCAATCGCTTTGTTATTTTCAAAACCAATCAGTATTAAGCTAATCTTTACTCCTTCACTAAACTTTACCCAACTATCTACCCCAGGAAGACAGACCTTTCTCTTCTCTGACCTCTTACAGCACTAAAGTCTAATACAGAGCCAAGGCCCACTCATAATCTTGGTGTGATAGACCAGAGAGTTGAGACTCAACCCCTGTACTGTTATTTGGTTGCAACCGTACTCCCCCTGGATGTCCACTTAGATAGGGCCTTTTCTTCATTGCCGTCAGGTACAGTGATAGATAAGTGTTTTTCTTCCAGTGAGCTCTTATTGAATGATTGAAATGAATGATGAGTTCAACATGTTAATTCCAACCACATGTGGTTGATTGTGGCATCTTCAATCCAAATATTTAGTCAATTCAAGTTTTTTAAAGAATCTTGCTTTATATTCAGACAAAACAACATTTGTGATTGAACAGCTCTTAAAGTGCAAGGACCTAGGATTAAATGGTTTTTGCATCCCCACAGAACACCTTAGCTTAGAGTGAATCATATACCAGAATTTTAGTAAAATGCCTGATGATCTATTATAGAAATCACAACTTGCGCATTCATTCAGCAGATAAATATTGAGCCCATTATGTTTGCCAGGCATACTGGACATTTAGTGATTAATAAAATAATGACCCAGTTCTTGCAGAGCTTATAGTTTAATACATTAGATATCATAACAGAAAGTAGGCACTGCCTATGTTTCTGTGCAAGCAAAGCAGACTGGAAAGTTGAGTCAATATCCCTGATAATTCAATTCTAAAACAAACTTTCCACAAAAAGAGGAAAGTGATTCCCATTTCAAGAAGACTGATCAAGTCTCCTTGAAAATTATAACTCATTGTATTATAATCTCTGCCTAGGCAGCCATGATCTTACAAGTCCTTTAATAGAACTATCTGATGATTTTTACAAAGTTGAACTGCTACAGAATTTGTAGAACTAATCTAGAATTTCTACCTCATGTATATTCTCTCACTCAAATTCTAAAAGAAAGAGACTGTTGCTCTCTTATCTGCTTATCATCCAATATCAGATATACAATAAATCTTAATGGACAATCTGTTCTATAATACAAAATCATCATAGTTATGATTTTTTTCATATTTTGAAGTGGTTGAATAAAGAAACTGCCTGGTCCAAGGTAGAAATGAGCAAGTTACTTTGTTTAAAAACAGTTTTGCCTCCAGAAAATTACCCATAGGTGACTTCATCATGGACCAGAATATTAAGAAAATTAATCTCATATGTAACCTCATGCTAAGAAAATAAACACATCAGCCTGGCACAGTGGCACATGCCTGTAATCCCAGTGGCTCAGGAGGCAGAGACTGGAGGATCACAAGTTCCAGGCCAGCCTCATCAACTTAGTGAGATTATAAGCAACTTAGTGAGACTCTGTCTCAAATAAAAATTAGAAGGGCTGGGAATGTGGCTCAGTGGTAAAGGCCCCTGGGTTCAATCCCCAGTACCAAAAAAAAAAAGGAAAGAAAAAAGGCATATCATCTACAACACACTCAACTTACATGAATTAAAGATACTTGTATTTAATTCTTCTATTGAAAACACTTCACTCTGGCCTAGGACAATCTCCATCTTCAGTGTTAATAATCAGATATCCTCTTTCTCTGGTAGTGTTGATCAAATTCTTGGAAAAGGGCAAATCACATCAGATAAGAAGAGCCGAGAGAAAATAACGGCAGAACATGAGACCACAGATGACCTCAGTATGCTCGGCCGGGTGGTCAAAGTTGAAAAACAGGTACAACTCAACCACACTAATTAACTTCTAAGCCAGATTTTTTTTATCAAAATAGATTATAGGCAACTGGATCTTTTGTAATGATTGACATATTTATAAGGAATGAAAATAGGGCAAAAGAGGTTGCTTGGTAGTAAAGCACTTTCCTAGTATGTATACACCTAGGGATAAGGGATAGATAGATAGATAGATAGATAGATAGATAGATAGATATTCTCTTAAAAATACATATATATATTATTTTATATATATTTTCCACAAGGCATGTAGATAGATATTCTCTTAATAATACATATATATTATTTTATATATATTTTCCACATATATGGAATATATAGTTTATATATTTATATATATAAAGGAAAAAAAATAAATGAACAAAATAAAGAATGAATGATGTTAAACTTCCTCAGTACATTGACAGTATTCTCCAAAACATCTCTTTGGATTTCCATATAAAGAATATAAAATTTTATCTCATTGATTAATACTTAACTGGAAGCAACTATAGATTTCAGTAGTAAAATAGCAAAGATCTACTTGTCCTTTGTGTTTTGGTCATTTTTATTGGCCTTTAGATCACTCTTTTTAAAAATAAGGTAGAACCTGTGATAACACATTGAATTTTTGGTAACCCAGAGTGTAATCTTCTCATATAAAAACAATTTTTCAGGGCTGGGGATATAGCTCAGTTGGTAGAGTGCTTTCCTCGCATGTATAAGGCCGTGGGTTCAATCCCCAGAACCACAAAAAAAAAAAAAAAAATCCAGAAATCAAATTGTCCTCCCAAAAGAATCATAAATACTCCAAGTATTAATCCTGAAGCATTTTGTGCCTTTATTTTTAAACTCAGACTCACCTGGATTGATACTTAGGTCTTAATTTCACTATAGAATAAATTCCTTATTAAAATGCAGTCAAGTTCCAGAAAGTGGATCAATGGGGCTGGGAAAGGCAATCTGACTGGGATGGGCAACCTTAAAGTCACATTTTTATAGTGCTTATATACCTTTTCAGAACACCAATCATCCATTTTAAGGAAGTGGAGGGGGCTGGCCAATGGAAATTATATGGAAGCCAAAGTATCTCTCCCCCCTTTCAACCTTCCCTGCCCCATCACTGCCAGATGCTACATTCATTGAGTCCAAACTGCATTTCACTTTACACTCTATTTATCTATTTTGTATTGACACACTCTGTGATTTTAATTCCAGAAGTGAGATTCATTCTTCACAGCAGGTCGTCCTCATATGTAACCATTTCCCTCCTTTTAGGTCCAGTCCATTGAGTCCAAGCTGGACTGCCTGCTAGACATCTACCAACAGGTCCTCCGGAAAGGCTCTGCCTCAGCCCTCACTTTGGCTTCATTCCAGATCCCATCTTTTGAATGTGAACAGACATCTGATTATCAAAGCCCTGTGGACAGCAAAGACCTGTCCAGTTCGGCGCAGAACAGTGGCTGCCTAACCAGATCAGCTAGTGCCAACATCTCCCGAGGCCTGCAGTTCATTCTGACACCAAATGAATTCAGCGCTCAGACTTTCTATGCGCTTAGCCCTACTATGCACAGTCAAGCAACCCAGGTGCCAATGAGTCAAAGTGATGGCTCCGCAGTGGCGGCCACCAGCAACATTGCAAACCAAATAAATGTGGCACCCAAGCCAGCAGCCCCAACAACTTTACAGATCCCGCCTCCTCTCCCAGCCATCAAGCATCTGACCAGGCCAGAGACTCTGCACCCAAACCCCGCAGGCTTACAGGAAAGCATTGCTGACGTCACCACCTGCCTTGTTGCCTCCAAGGAAAATGTTCAGGTTGCACAGTCAAATCTGACAAAGGACCGTTCCCTGCGGAAAAGCTTTGACATGGGAGGAGAAACTCTGTTGTCTGTCCGTCCCATGGTGCCCAAGGACTTGGGCAAATCTTTGTCTGTACAAAACCTGATTAGGTCGACAGAGGAACTGAATTTACAGCTTTCAGGGAGTGAGTCAAGTGGCTCCAGAGGCAGCCAAGATTTTTACCCCAAGTGGAGGGAATCCAAATTGTTTATAACTGATGAAGAGGTGGGTCCCGAAGAGGTAGAGACAGACACTTTTGATGCCACCCCGCAGCCAGCCAGGGAAGCTGCTTTTGCATCAGACTCTCTAAGGACTGGAAGATCCCGATCATCTCAGAGCATTTGTAAAGCAGGAGAAAGTACAGACGCCCTCAGCTTGCCTCATGTCAAACTGAAATAAGCTCTTTGTTTTCTTTCTAGGCATAGCAGTTCCTTTAGCCATACATATCATTGCATGAACTCTTTTGAAAGCCCTCCTAAAAAGTTGAAATTGCAAGAATCAGGAAGAACATGAAAGGCAGTTTATAAGCCCGTTATCTTTTAATTGCATGAAAATGCATGTTTAGGGATGGCTGAAATTCCGAGGTGCATCGACATTAACCCACTCATTTAGTAATGTACCTTGAGTTTAAAATCATCAGAAACCAAACACTGCTAATGCTATGGGGTATATGAAAACGTCAAGATTAGGTGATTTACAAGTTTCAACACTGTACTTTGAAATTGTGGAAGAAAACACTTTCAAATTTCAGGCATTTCTGCTTTGTAACTAAATACGAAATACATTTTCAAAATTAGGCCATAATGTGTATTTAAACATAATGGCTCTCAATAGCTGCTAACAAGGTATCAAGTAAAACAGAATTTGGGAATAACAGAAATGGCTGCTTATTTCAAGATATATTTGCCAACCCATTTCTATTCAGTCATTTTATTATTAATGTAATTTGAGTGTCAATTTGTACGCTTTTGGTGATTTAGCGCTGTGGCAAGCAATTTTGCACATTATTTTCATGTTGTTCTTTATGACAAGAATGTTTTTCATTTAGAAAATGTGCAAATAATGAAATTCAGGACCAGCAGGGCAAATAGACTCACTATCTGACATATTTGACTTTATGGAAACATATTCCCTGATGGCAGATTCAACTCTATATGAGTAGTCAGCTTCTATACACATGCATGAAACACTGATGAGTAGAATAGCCAGTGTGACTGGGCATCTCTGCAATGGCACCAACCCCAGGTTTGCCAATCCTGGCCACGTGAAGGGCAAGTGTGAGGAGCTATTGCCATTTAGCCGACACACAGGTAGGACCCTGGGGAAGGGGACAGTTAAGTGGAACTGAGAGGAAAAAAAAATGCTTAAAAAGAAGCCAGAAATAACACCAGGAAGTAGACAATGTTCAGAAAATTACTTCTCCCTTAAAAGGCAGTGAGAGGGAAGGAGAGAAACAAACCAAAATAAAAGAAATCAATTTTTTGGATAATGAGTATTGCTAGGGAATTCAACTGCCTAAGCATCTCTTATTCTTATATAGAAACAGAGAATTTTGCAAGTTATTTATTTTTTAATATACCCTGAATGTCTTTTGCTATTATGTATTACATTTTTGCATATGAAAGGCTAAAACTAAAGGTTCCTTTACTTTTTATACTGTAGTAAACACTTTGTATTGTCCCTGAGAATGTTGTCCCAAATCTGAAATTACCAGTTTGGTTTCCTTGTATAAACATTCACAATTAAGAAGCCAGATAGCACTGCAGGGTCTGCTAATCACCACACTTTATAATATATCAGTGCAGCAAAAAGATCAAGGAAAGGAAATTTAAAATGCATTTAACAGAAAGTGAAAAATGGCCAGGTGCTGTGGCACACCGTATTCCCAGCAACTCAAGAGGCTGAGGCAGGAGGGTCGAAAGTTCCAGGCCAGCCTCAGCAATTTAGTGTGGCCCTAAGCACCTTAGTGAGACCCTGTCTCAAAATAAAAAAATTAAAATAACTAGAGATGAGGCTCAGTTGTAAAGTGCCTCTGGGTTCAATTCCCAGTACAAAAAAAAAAAAAGAAAGAAAGAAAGAAATGCAGACTGGTTTTTAGAAACCTAGCTCTCTCAGATGGTCGGAACCTGGGCCAAAGGCAAAGAGAGGTAAAAGAACATTTCAAATCAGTTAAACTCAAGAACGGAAAGGAAGAGCTTTTCCCTTGGCAAACCTCTGAGCTGCCTCCAGGCAAACTTCTCCAGCAGCCAGGGAAAATGACCAGGAATAGTAACTGGCCATTCAAAGAAAAGAGGCCCTGAAATCCAGCAATCCTTCCCAAGTCGCCCCTAGCAGAAGCTTCTCTATCACTGACTATCTTTTCTTCTTCCTGGATTGCTTATTTATTCCTACCACTATTTTGCTTTGAAATTTCACTACGCCTTACCCAGCACCCATCCCCAAGTAAACCAGTTCTGCTCTCTACCTAAAAATGCTTTTCAACATTTTTAAAATTTTTGTCCCTTTTGATAAACACTGAAATTTTAAAAGCTTCCTCTTCTCACCCCACTTGGATCCTAATACAATCCCTTGGAGTGTATCATTCAGAACCTTCTTGGCTACTGGAGATACCCAGAAGATAGAATCTAAATTTTACACTCCAGTTAAAAATATTTTGTCAAGCTTTGAAGGTTATTATTTTCATTTTCCAAACATAGAATGTTAGTCAATTATTAAATGCAAATTTTCATCTACCCTTGTCTCTACTCAACCTGAAATTCTGACATATCTTCCCAAGGACATTGCACACACACACACCCATCCACAGACCTAAAGCCAGACACCTGCCCTGTACTCAGCAGATTCTCTCCAAATATTAGCAGAGGAAGAAGAGGGAGGCAGAACCTTTCAGGTAGCACTGATTCTTGGACATACTCTGTCCCAGGTTGAACCCCACTGGCAGCAGGAATTCTGAATGTATCAGGGACCCCTTCTTAGGCCTTCTTAGGCCTCGAACACAGAACAGTTGATCCAGCATTGCTAAAGACTGAAGATTCAGAAACAATGCCTAAACACATCACTGAGGTCTTAATCATAGCAAAATGTGATAAATTATATTGTGGAAAACTTTTATGCATCGAAGCCATGACCATTTTGTCTATCTTACTCTCGCACAAAGAAAAAATCTCTTGGATGTTAAGATAGTTGTATAATGTGAAAACTGTAGATTGTCTGTTGTGTCACTCTATGGAAATGAGAAGGGTCTCCCATTTACACTTAGCAAAACCCCATTGGTCAATCCCAAATGGTGTCTTGAAGCACAATTTTGCTGAGTACTGAGTAGCCACAAGCTTTCTCAGTTCAGGTTTGTCAGCCTTCTTCAACATGTAGGCTTGATCAAGCTAATAATTAATTGCAAATATCCCATGTATGATGTTAATTAAAAATTTTTGCTATGTCTTATCTAAATGTTTGCATTTTGTTCAATTAAATTGATATCTGTAGATTGCAAGTTTTGTTTAAAGTAAGACACTTTCCTCAGTTTTTAAGTCATTATCTCTTATTCTAAGGTGCCTTTCTCACCTCCCACTGACTCAGTGATTTCGAAAGTTCTTAATTTGAAAGTCAAACAAGCCTAATAATGAGAAGGAAATCAGGCACTAAGTGATTATGTCTCCTACCCATATGAAAAGCAAACCGCAAAGAATGAAGAAACCTGGGCGACTAAATATATGGATCACTTCATTCAATCACATTGAGGAAATATTGCAGATATTAACTTAACTCCCCAGAAGCTGATATTTTTTGCCTTAAATGACATGGTTGTGTTTTTGTAAGAGAAACTTAATATAATTATGTGCATTTAAGTGAGCAATTCTAAAAGTCATGTACGACAATGCAATTGTCTGTTTCCTGAAAACAAATAAATCAGGAATATGGTATCCATTTCAAGCTATCATTAAAATGTAATTTCCTTTGCTCTCTTTTACTGGGATTATTTGTCTTAAAGTAAAACATTAAAAAGATATCTATAAATGGCTAGTGTAAACATTTTATCTGGAACTAACTGGTTGGTTCTGATCTCATTGATCCAAGTTAACCAAACTGACTACAGTTTTGGTACTGAAATATAAAAATTAGCTTTTTGTAATGTTGCTAAAGAAATCATTGGTAATTTGAAAATGGAGGAGATTTTCATGTGCTCTTTAGAGTATTATAAGAAAAAATTCATTTGCTATAGATCACGTAAGCTTTGTGTTAATTACAAGTTGAGTATCCCTTGTCTAAGATGTGTGAGACCAGAAGTACTTTGGATTTTGAATTTTCTCAGATTTTGGAATATTTGTATATACATAATGATACGTCTTCAGGATGAGATCCAAATCAGAACATGAAATTCATTTATGTTTTATATATACCTTATATGTAAAGCCTGAAGATAGTTTTATACAAATTCTTTTTTTTTTTTTTTTGTACTGAAGATCAAACCAAGGGCCTTGCAAATTCTAGGCAAGCATTCAAGCATTCTACCATTGAGCTATATCCCCAGCTTTTTACAAAATATTCTTAATAATTTTGATAACAAAACAAGGTTTCATGATATGGAATTTATATAAGTGCTCAAAAAGTTTTGATATATTCTGGATTCAAGCTTTCAGATCAGGAATTTGCAGGGGAGGGGCATGCTGTGGATTGAACTCAGGGATGTTTTACCACTGAGCCACACCCCCAGTCCTTTTTATGTTTTATTTTGAGACAGGATCTCATCAAGTTGCTTAAGACCTCCCTAAGTTGCTGAGGCTGGCCTAGGACCTGTGATACTCCTGCTTCAATCTTCTGAGTTATTGGGATTGCAGTTGTGTGCCACCACTGCCAGCCAGATTAGGGATATTTAACCTGAGTGATAAAAAGGTTTGCTAAACAAGTGATAAGAAATGGAAACCAGGTGAGTGCCCAAATTCTGCCATTTCTGGTTACTAAGAACTACTATTTTTAGTACCTAACCCTGTCTTACCAGGGAAGGCTCCTGCTCCAAATGGGACTATACCCCTGTTATTTCTGTTGTGCTAACAACTTTCTGCTAGATGGCTAGGATTAATTCCCGTGGAATTATTCTCAAGAAGTCCCAGGATACTGGAACTCTGAGTCCAAAGCCAGAAAGCTCTAACTGGTGTTATAGACAGGGGGAAGAACAACAAGGGACTACTACCTTGAAGGAGGAAGGAGTTTCCCATTATGGCTCTAAAAAGATCAGAGGTGTGCCTGTTCAATCAATCTCTAGACAAGTGAAAATAAAAATGTGTACAGAACATGCTTGCTTGACCAACTTGTAAATGCAAACTGATTCCAAACATTTTTAGAACTACTTTGTAAACAGTAACATCCAGCCCTAACTCTTAAAAGCAAAACATATTTTACCCCAACCATGGATTTAAAAAAGTGTAGGTTTCTAGACCTTAAAGTGGCAATTTTTATTAGCCTGGTTTCAAGTGCCTCAATAATCAGACACAATTATTTCTTTAAAAAAAAATAAATTTTCATTAGCTATAACAATACTTCTCCCTCTCACCAACCTAATTCCATATTATTGAGGGTTTTATTATATTTCAAAGCAGATGTTTTTCAAATACATTATATGTACTGCCCTGGAAATCACAGCACCATAAAACTGTCAAGTGACAAAATTTTTCTTTTCAAATAAATAGAAAAACCCAAAAGAACATTGGTTTAATATGTTATTCTGCCCACTCATGGTTCATGTCAGTTCTGCCATAATTTGGGATGACTACTGGAAGTACATATGCTCTTGAAGAGATGTCAGGGTTCTACGGCTTCCATATGTGGTAAGAGCACTCCTACTTTTAAACATTTCCACCTTTATGCTTTTTCTCTTACCTTAAGTGACTTTGCATACTAGCTTTTTCTTCCTTCTCTTTGCCTGCATTGTTATGACTGGCTTCATAGATTTCCAATCCCTGCAGATCCTTATAATCCCAAATAACTAGGCACTCACATTCTCCTTGCTGCAGCTGGCAGGGCCACTTGCCCTAACATACGGCATGAGAATGGCATGCCACATAGACTCCAAAAGCAGAGATGCTTTGGGGAACCAATGGAACTCCTCACCTGAACCCTCAGGGTAATGCTCTGATGCCCTCTCCTGTTTCCAGACATCCCACTGCTGGGTGGCAGGGGAGGCCTCCATCACTACTCCAGGATGGGAACTCTTTGCCTTTAGAAGAGACTATTTCTGCTCTTGGGTTCCCAAGACCATGGTTGTCCCATTAGCCTTTCCCATTCCCATTGTTGCAGCATCTAGCTCTCGCTCTTTCCCCTCATATGCTTAGCCTCTGGTTACCAGCAACTTTCCAGTATCCTCCCTTCTGCTTCATTGTACTCTATACCTCATCTTCACACAGCTCTGTAACTAGTAACAGCATTTCAGTTAATGACGAACCACATATACCACAGTGGACCCATAATATTTAAATGCAGCTGAAAAATTTCTATCACCAATTGACATCATAACCATAATAATGTGGTAGCTCAATGAATGCATGTTCATGGTGATGCCAGTATAGACAAACCTAATGCACTGCCAATGGTACAAACGTATAGAGCATACAATGAGGAATAGTACATAACATTTGAGAATGATAATAAACAACTACATTACTAATTCATGTATTTACTATATTAAACTTTTATTATTATTTTGGAGTATACTTCTATTTATACAAATGTTTACTATAAAACACTGCTATATGATAATTCAGCAGCCTCAAATATGTTCTGTTTACCATACTTTTTGGTTGCATCAAAAGGCCACATTGAATGAGTAATAATAAACACATCCTGTGATGTATGCATGATGAAATTACCCGATAGTCATTTCTTAAAACTT